TTGGCTCTATTAAATTGCGAGTATCCAGATATCCGTTATTCGTGAAATTGAATAACGGGCAAATATACTGAGAATACTTGTAGCATACTGAGTGTATTAGTCAGTGTTGCAGAATCGATCGAATTTCAGTACGAGTGATTGCACGTGTGAATTTCTCACGGTTATTCAGTCATCTAACTTTTGTTATTGTTATCGACCATCACTTTTTTGCTAAAATCTAATGAAGATTAAAAGCGTATGAATGATACATGGTGTCGCAGAGAGTCAACGTTCGCGTCTTTCGGTTATCGAAATAATGCGCTATCGAGACAAACGCGTGATGTATTTCGGGGAACATACGTTCTATTCTGCTAATATGTACATATATTATATGGATCCACAATCTGTCAGTCTCTTTTAGAACCCGCCACGTTGTCTAGCGCGACGTGTCGCGCTCGAAATATTGCTTTCTCGAAAATGTCGCGATATATTTTACGTGATATTTACTTATTAAACTCTACGAAACATCGATATTGAACGCTTACACTTTGAGACGTAGCAACACGTTAATTTATTAACATCCCGTAGTTAATTGCTTATGCAAAAATTGTATCAAAAATATAACAAAATATAACAAAACTATGATTGATATTAAAAAAAAAAAAAAACCTAGGTTGAAACTGGCAAAAACACCATTTTTACAGTCAAGTTTTTTTATTCAATATATTTTACAAAAGTTTTGCATTTGAACATTGAATATCATAAAACTATTATTTGACGATATTACGCATACGTGATGATGAAGGAATTAGTTTATATTTGAATACCTAGACACATTTGAAATGGCATCCATCATTCATTTTTTTGAGCCAATGTATTATAAATCGATATCGCAGAGTGAAATATTCGATATCAGTTTCTCGAGCATGATATCGAAATGCGGCATCTGGCATGCGAATTTTCCGACTTTGAAGGCGAAATGTGGCGAGTTTGGCGGGGGGATCAGTCGTAGCTCATCCTTTAAACTTAACCGCAAACCATATATTGCGAGTGATTATTGCCGAGAACAAATATCCGGAAGGTGTAAGTACCAAATCGATGGTAGCGACCAATCTAACCAATCGTGAATTTTATTGTTGCAGAAATACTATTGGCAGAACTTCGAATTACTGGAGCATCGTCGACACAACGCCGAGACTGCGCTTTCTTCGTCACCGGTGAGTCTATATTTTTGCGTTTTTTATCTCTTCTTAATTATATCACCTATTTCATAATGAGAATAAAGAGACAAAAAAATATAGAAGAAGATTAGAAAGAAAATTTTGACAATTTTATAATTTGACATAGTTTTTATTATTGAAGTTTCATAGAATATATTTGATATTTAATATTTGATTTGATATGCTTATGTATTCTCTCTCTTTTATTGTATATGTAGCTTTGATCGATTTAAAATAGACTTTATCTTAAATAAAAATCTTTCCAGACATAATATTACTTTTCAAAGTTAAATATCTTGGTAATTGAGCTTGAAATTACGTTTCTGTCAAAGCAAAGTCCATTTGAAATTAAATGCAAATTTCTTTTATCTACGTTCATTTTTCAGGGAAATGTCTTAATATGCTATTTTTTAGCTCCTAGTCTAACGTTACCTTTTTCAATTTTCATTTGTTTGTAACTCGAAATTGCTACCTTTTTTTTTGTATTATTTAACTTTCGACCTAATATATAAATTTAAGAAATGTGTACTCGATTATTGCGACTATATTCTATATCTAGTTACGTGCATCTTTTAAGAGGGCTCGTCTCGGGCTGTAATAAACGCTCGCCCCACCCGCCGTCGCGTTTTCTTATTCGTATTTAAGTGCCGTCACCGTCGTAAGAAAGTTTCGTTGCGCCGCGCACCCGCCGCGCCGTTGTATCGATATCGCGCTCGTAACGACGAGAGGTCGAGTTGGTTGACCCCGCATAAAGTGCGGGGCTTGTGGGCTCGTGTGCCGGGTATCTTGAAAATCTCGTGGGTCAGGGCGTGGTGCCGACAACGACAGTGGGGTCCGCAATCAGTCTGTGTGTTTCGTTCACAATGATGGTGGGTTCAACTAGGAAACTACGCGCGTAGCACGCGCGCGAGTGCCCCCCCCCTCTCTCTCTCTCTCTCTCTGTGTAAACACCGCCGCACTACCCACGCATACGCACAAA